TTGGAATTAAATCTGGCAAGAGATGTCAAGGACAACAAGAAGGCCTTCTTCAAATACATCAATAGCAAAAGGAAGACTAGGGAAAACGTGGGCCCGCTGCTGAACGGGGCGGGTGCCCTGGTAAAGAAGGATACAGAGAAGGCAGAGTTGCTGAATGCCTTCTTTGCTTCAGTCTTCACTGCTAGGGCCAGTCCTCAGGAATTCCAGACCTTGGAGACAAGAGAGGAAGGCTGGAGAAAGGAAGACTCCTCCTTGGTCGAGGAGGATCAGGTTAGAAATCATTTGTCCAAACTTGACATCCACAAATCCATGGGCCCCGATGGGATGCAGCCACAAGTGCTGAGGGAGCTGGCGGATGTTATCGCTAGGCCACTCTCCATCCTCTTTGAAAGGTCATGGAGATCAAGAGAGGTGCCTGAGGACTGGAAGAAAGCCAACGTCCCCCCAATCTTCAAAAAGGGTGAGGAGGAGGAGCCAGGAAACTACAGGCCTGTCAGCCTCACCTCCATCCCTGGAAAGGTGATGGAACAGCTCCTCCTGGAGGTCCTCAGTAAGCATCTGGAGGACAAGGTGGTGATCAGGAGTAGTCAGCATGGATTCACCAAAGGGAAATCATGCTTCACCAATCTGATAGCCTTATTAAATCAAATAGTAAGTTTGCTGATACATGTATGGTCTAAAAACTAGTTCTCTACCACATGCTGCAAATAGCATGATGATGTCAACAAGATTCAGAAATACTCAAACCATAGCTTCACAAAAATATATAAATAGCTAGAAAAGTAATTGTTTATTTGGGGATGGTGTGTATGGCATTGTTCTTAGAAATATAGTATTTTCTTTCTAAATATTTCCAAAGGTTTTTGATCTTACATTCTCAGCCCATACACATGACCCAAGACATTATCATAAATCCAACTAGTGTTAAGAATCCCTCAGAAGATCGCGCAGGAAGAAAGTAACTCAAAAATCATGAACAACCATTTGCAAAACTGGCCTGCACTCTCACCATATCTAAAATAAAAGAAAAAAAAAGCCTTACCTGGTCTTTCCACTTTGATAACTTCAGCTCCTAGATCTCCTAAATTCATTGTGGCAAAGGGCCCGGCAAGCACCCTGCAATATTTAAAAAAAAAAAAAAAAGGAAAAAAAAAAAAGAAAAGTTTTTCTTCATTGCTTTATCACAGTATTTGCATCTAGACAGACTGTTCTGAACTATAAACAAACACAAACCTTGTTAGATCAAGAATTTTCACACCATCCAACGGCTTTACATTACTAGCATCTGGCAAGAAACAGAAAACAATAACTTAACTCTTGAATCTTCTGCTAAGATGTTCCTCACTGAAGGTCTGAAACACTGCTTTTATGGCTTGCTCTCACCATCCTCCCTCATCCCCCTTCCCATTTACAGAATAATAAAGTTTTCTTCACAGGTATGGTGTGAGGAGTACATAACATGAGTAAAACCTTCCAAAGTTGGAAAACCTTATGGTTAGCGTTGTAGAACCTAGTCTAAACACCTAGCAATTTTGCAGTAAAACTACTTTTTAAAAGATGTTTAAATGTGCCTACTACACAAACTCATACAGTTTTCAAAGTTTTACCTGAAGAAAGATCCAATAAAAGTACAGCAAACCACATCAAAACAACCTACAAACTAAAAATAACAGCTAACAGGCCAACGTGAGGCACAGCATCCTCAGAAGCAAAGCAGTTTGACCTATGTAGACCACTTGCAGCATAGTTTCTACATTTCCAAAATGAAGTTTACAAAACTGAAGGCAGAACCAAGGAAATATTTGTTCTGCCTTTCAACAGCAAATACACATCCAAGATAACTACTAGGAAATCATAATCTTTTACTCCTTCCCCTCACCTAGTTCTTAAAAGGAACAGCGTGACAATAAATCTAAGAGATAGGACAAGCAATCTTGTAATCTAGATCACAGGTTTGTCACAGATCTCTTGGGTGACTCCAAGTAAGTCAGTTTTCTTCTATTTTGGTTTCTTTAATTGCCAAATGAGGATAAAAACACTTTGCTGCCCCATGGGGATTGTAATTTCATTGCTATTTATAAGGTGGTCTAATGTTACAGAAGAATTAGAACGCACTGGCTGATAACACCACAAAAATTAGACAGCACAAACCATGAGGAGCATCTTTTTGGGTATCGTCCAGATAACAGAAAGCAATGCAAAACATGGAGAAAACTACTAATCTGAACACAGACTTCCCTGCAGAACAGGAAGAAGAAAGGACCTACAGCCCCTCAGAGCGTTTGGGCAGTGTATCCCGTGTCACATGTCAGAGTTATGCAGCAGTGAACGCCTGTTTCACCTCTTCCGCGCTCATCTTTCCATCAGATAAGAGCCACCCTTCACAGTCACTTCCGTAACTCTCCCTATTACCTTTTTATAATAAAGTATCTACAGAGAATATGAAGAAGCATTGGAAATTCTAGGCTTCTGTTTAAATATTATTTATTTCTGTTAAAATATTTTCATTCACTGCACTGCTCTCAATGAATCATTCATTCATTCACTGCACTGCTCTCTCACTTGAATCCCATTCTTCATTTATAAGACATTTTCCTCTACTACTACAAATCACTCTGGAGGGATTTGAGTTTAATAGGTTTTGGTTTTTAATGCAATATGCAGACCAAGTAGCATGTTGAAAACATGCTTGTCCAAGAATGCCCAGATATTTTGCTCGTTTCAGACCCTTCTGGAGAACTCAGACTGTCACACCACAGACAACTTTCCAGCTGTTGGAAAATACTAGTGCTAGTGCCAAGTAAACATCATAGATCCTCTCAAGTTACCTCAGTTTTATCAAGTTGACTCTAGTTGAGCAAATACTTAAGCATGTGCTTACCTGTTCAGGAGTTCAGTGCACCATTTGCTTCACAATGAGATTACTTTTGTGTTTAGGGGAAATACGTAAACAACATCTTTACTGAAAAGCACAGCTCTCAAACCATTTGCTCCTTAACAGAAAGATTTGTCCACCTTCCTCAATTGCTTGTGGAAGTCAGAGAAGAAATAGACCTCTGTTGGTCTCTTCAAGCTAGAATAGCACAGATATTCACAAATAAAACTGGCAAAACCCGAATTTGCTTTCCAGTAGCACACTAGCATGTAGCAAACCTGCTTTTAGAAATCACAGAATCCAAAGACTATCAAAATACAATAGTGTTGGCACACCAATCCTGAACACTAGAGCGCTCTCAATCCACCACCGAAGGAGACCAAAAAAAAAAAAAATCCATCAGAAGTATGTCCTATCTTTACTTTTTTCTGGCTAGCCTCATATCAGGCACACATCCAGACTTAATCATTCCTCTCTAAAGTATTTTTGTTGATATTGTGGCTCAATATAGTCAAAATGCTCACAGATACAAATCCGTATTTTCTCTTATATTTTTCCTTTTAATTATTTTAGTAACTTAATGATTTAAACAAAATCCACTCTCCCAGCTGTAACTGTACCATATATACAAACTATTTATTCCTTTGATTCTTGTATTAGCTGTAAACTGGAAAGCCATGTGCATCTTTTATAAATATCTCTGCTGAAGAAAAGAATAAACAGATCCAGTTAGTCTCTCAAGATGACTTAAACTTTTTAGGGTAGGGTGTCCCACGGTTGGCCTATCTTTTAACAATATGACTAAGCAACCAACGGGGAGATTGTTCCATAGTAGAATAGATTTAAATTAGTTTTACTTGTTTGAGCCCCAAAAGTTTTTCTTTATACTCTCAAATGACAGAAGCAAACACTGGGAAAAGGGCCAACTAGTTCCCCACATTCAATACTTTCACACCAATACAAATTAACTGCAAATAAATGAATTCCAGTCCAATTACTTTCAGCTCCAGAGGAAACATCACTTCTTGAGCCTCTCCCTTGACTGCATGATCAATACTTTTTAGTTCATACATGCAGGGGGTAATGATCAAGTCTAGCACTACTGCAGGTAAATTCGCCAGCCATTCGTTATCCACTCACACCAGGGATGCATTCGGCACGCTCATCTCAGGAAACAAAAATGCAGACTTCCTCCAATTCTAACGCAATCGTTGCTATTTTTCTATGCTATTTACGAACGGGGAAATCTGAAAGCCAGACCTGCTGTTCAGGCAGTCAATGGAAACTGACTTTGCTGTGGCTTGCTTTTATTTCTCCTTTAAAAACAAAAGAGCTGTTTGAAGTCAGAGTTTTGTAACCTCAGACAAATCAGGCCCAAAACTAGACAGCGGGCACTTTTTCCGTTAACGGGAGCTTCCTGAGTACCTGACACTCTCCACGCCAGACGCAACCCGGAGTTACAGGGAGCTGCCGCTGCAGCAGAACTGACGGGCCAAGTCCAATTTCGGTTACTCTTGGCGA